CAAGTTGGTACGCATCAGACACCCGGCAAGGCCTGTCATCTCATGCATCACCGTTGGTATGCGTTCCGGGGGCCTGTTCTAACGGGGGGACTCTAAGGGATCCGCATCGCTCGCTGACACAGTGGCGGAAATTGACACGGAGAGTGGTCGCAGCCGCTACTGGGTCATAGACCGTGCCAGGTTCGATACAGGGGGTCGACGTGCGGATTTTGGTAGATTCGGGTGCGTCCGCAACTATCATCTCGGACATTATATTCCATCTCCTGTCCATTCCGCCGTCGCGGGTACCACCGGTTTACGATTCATGTATTGCGGCGAACGGAGGGAGTATGGGCATCATTGGTCAGGTAGAGGCGCGTATTTCGGTTGGGGGTGTGTCGGCTGCGGGGACGGTGTTAATCTCCAGGTCCCTCGCTGTGCCGTGTTTGTTGGGGACCGATTTCCTGGCAAAGATGCCCATTCAGATAAGGGTTGATCAGAATTGTATTGAGTTACCAGCCGGCCAGAAGATTTTATTTTTGCCGTCGCCATGGGGACAGTCCGCTCTGGACCGTCAGGTGCAGGCGCTATCCGATGTTTCGGTCGACATTCCACCTGGCTCGCAGATGTTTATCCCACTGCGTTATCAGAAGCCCGTGCCTGGGGTCGATGGGGCGGCGGGCGTGTTGTTGTCGCCGTCCAACGCGGTTACGGATGGCCTGGCGCTGGTCGCGGCACAAACGATTGTTCGGCTAGGTCAGCCTCCGTTTTTGCAAGTGTTGAATGGAGGCACGGACAATGTCGTCTTGTGGGCCGGAACGGTTTTGGCACATGCTACGACCGCCTTCACGGCCCATGATAATCCGGGCCACCGGGGCCTCATAGGGGGGGTTTCGGCCTCGACGGCGCAGGACGATCGATGGATCGCTGGGTTGTGCCAAGAAAATGCGTCCTTGACTATGGACCAGCGGTCCCCGCTTCGTGCGCTGTTGGAGAAATATTCTGATGTCTTTAGTAAAGACGATTTTGATTTGGGACGCACCTCGTTGCTCTCCCACCATATTAATACTGGGGATGCTGCTCCCATTCGGATGAATCCACATCGGTTGAGCCCGGCGGAGAGGGATCATGTACGCTGCACGGTGGACGATATGCTAGCTGCTGACATTATCTCTCCATCCAACAGCCCGTGGGGCACTCCGGTGGTCCTGGTAAAGAAAAAGGATGGTAATTTACGGTTTTGTGTCGATTTTCAGAAGTTTAACAAGTTGTCGGTTGTGGACGCTTACCCCCTGCCGCGTATGGATGATTCCCTCGATGCCTTGTTTGGGGCGAAATTTTTTTCCACTCTTGACCACTTTTCGGGGTTCTGACAGCTCCCCCTGGACGAGTCTTCGAGGGAAAAGACGGCTTTCCGTACGCCGCAGGGCCTGTTTCAGTTTAATTATCTTCCCATGGGGTTGAATGCCGCCCCTGCTACGTTCCAGAGGTTGATGGAACTCGTGTTGACCGGTCTGCAGTGGTACACGTGTTTGATATATTTGGATGATGTTATTGTGTTCAGCCGTACATTTGAGGAGCATCTTCAAAGATTGGATGCTGTTTTTGCTAGGGTGCGTTCCGCCAATTTGAAATTTAAGCCCAAAAAGTGTCACCTTTTGCAACGATCCGTACGCTATTTGGGCCACATAGTCAGCTCTGACGGTGTGGTCACGGACCCGGAGAAAACGGCATGCATCCGGGACTGGCCGATTCCGGCCATGGTGGGTGACGTGTGTCGTTTTGTCGGGTTCGCTTCCTATTATCGTAGGTTCATTCCAAATTTTGCCACGATCGCTAGGCCGTTGCACCTCCTTTTCGCGAAGAACCAGAGGTTAAGCTGGGGGCCGGCGGAGGAAGTGGCATTTAATGGCCTACGCGATCGCTTGGCGTCAGCACCGACGCTGGACTTCCCTGATTTCACTCTGCCTTTTATTCTGGATACCGACGCTAGTGACACGGGGATTGGGGCCATCCTATTGCAGTTTAAGGGTGGCGTTGACAACGTTGTGGCTTACGGGAGCTGCATTTTATCTCCGGCGGAGACCCGCTACTGCATTACCCGCCAGGAACTGTTGGCTATAGTGCATTTTGTCCGTCAATACCGGCCGTATTTGTATGGCCGCAACTTTATTGTGCGCACGGACCACGCAGCTCTACAATATTCCCTGAAAGTTGACCAACCATCGGGCCAATTGGCACGATGGTTGGAAACTTTGCATGAACTTTCATTTGAAATTCAATATCGTAAGGGGTCGCGTCACGCTAACACGGACGCGCTCTCCCGATTGCCGCAGGGATCCCTCTGTGCCTGTGCCTCTGGCACTAATAGATGCACGTGGGTTCTACAGCCCCCGCGTCCTGTCTTGTCCGCTGTGGTGATGCCTGGGGCTTCCACGTGCCTGGAACCGGCCGACGGGGTTTTGAATTTGCCGCATTCCATGTGGATTCGAGAGAAATTGCTCGATGATTCGCTGGGGGCCTTACGGAGTCGGGCTGCAAAGGAGAGGGGATATCCGTCGTCCGATGGGACGCTGGGAGTGGCTCTCCGGGACGACTTGTTGATGTGGAGGGAAGGCTTGCACGATTGCTGGTATCTTGTTGTGCCGTCGTCGTTGCGATTTGAGTTGATTCGGATTTTGCACGCAGAGTACATTTCGGGGTGCAGAAAACCTTGTTGACGTTACAGCGGGATTCTTTTTGGCACGGCATGACGACTGATGTCGTCGGGCATATTCGGACGTGATCCGACTGTGCCCGGCAGAAGCCGCCTAAGCAACCGTATGTTCCCCCAGTGCAGTCGATACAAGTTTCACGGATTAACGAGTTGGTGGCATTGGATATTCTGGGGCCCTTTCCCATGTCCGCTCGGGGGAACAAATTTTTGTTGGTCGGGGTTAAATATCTTTCCCGCTGGCCGATGGCCTGGCCCTTGCCCGACCAGTCGGCGGCGTCTATCACAGAGGCATTTTTGTTCGGATATGTGATGGACAAGGGGGCGCTGGAAAGGTTGCTTACAGACCAAGGGCGAAATTTTTCTTCTAATCTATTGCGGGATGTGCGCGACGCACTGGGGACTAAGAAGGTTCGGACGTCTCCCTACCATCCACAAACTGAAGGGATGGTTGAACAGTTGAACCGGACCCTGTCGGCCATGCTCTGTCATACGGTTATCGAGAAGCAGCCCGATTGGGATTTGCATATCCCTGGGGTGATCTCCGCTTGCCGGATGGCGCCGCATGCGTCGACAGGGCACTCACCTTTCTTTTTGATGTACGGCCGCGAGAATGTGCCGCCGGCGGAAGTGCAACTTGGCACGTGGGCGAGGGGTCCTGTTAAGCCCCTCCCCGAGTATATTCGTGACGCCACTCGACGCGTGGTGGAGGCGTGGGAGGCGGCCCGATTGGCTATGGCCAGGACCCAGGCCCGGAACGAACGTTGCGCCCGGCGCTCTCATTGTGAGTCCCCCTGGCGAGTGGGGGACATGGCCCGGCTCCACTGCCCGCAGGTACCGGTGGGAACCTCCCCTAAGTTACACAAATCCTGGCAGGGGCCGGCTGTGATCCTGCCGGACACAGGGATTCCTGCACCGGGTGGGTCTACCACGGCGACAGGGACACTTGGCCCCGCTGCCCCTCCAACCCCACCGCGGTTGCAGTTTCAAGGACCTCTTTGGGGAACGGGGTGCTGGGATGGACAGGCCTCCACCAGCGGTGGATGGTTCCGGTTCCTGCGCTCCTCAAACCCTATCGGGACTGCGACCTTTGAGGGCGCCGCCTCTCGTGAAGGATGGGCCGGCGACCCGCACTCGTTCCAAATCCCTTCCCTTTCATTAATTATGTTGTTGTTATACTCTCCGTTGGGTCTGGTGATTCCTGATTACGATATGGTCGCTCGCATTATTTTGTCCTATTGCAGCCGGGTCGGCTGGCTTTTTCATCAGGGGGGGGGGGGGTCATGTAATGCGAGCGTAAATGGGGTTGTTGCTGGGCTCGGGTCCAATCACACGGCCGGGGGTATTGGGGGGCGAGGTGAATGGGGGCGGAGCCAGCGGGAGAGAGAGAGATAGTATGGGAAGGTCGGATCTGAGGTTCCGGAAGAGGATTCAGGGTCACGTGGGGGGAATGTATATAAGTGTGAGCCCGGAAGAGATCGAGGCAGTTGGGGAACCTAAGAGGCTGAGCCACGTTGGGTGGTGAGAGGGATCCACGCCATCGGCCACGTGGCCGAAGGACCTCTGCACGCCGTCGTCCAGCGGTGTGCGGAGTGCGGGAATAGGGGAGTTAACGAGAGAGTGTGCGGGCAAGAGAGAGAGAGGGAGAGAGCGTACGCGGGGCGCACGCGAGACAGGACTGGTCCGGGAGAGGGAGAGAGAGCGTACGCAGGGCGCACGTGAGACAGGACTGGTCCGGGAGAGAGAGAGAGCGTGCGCGGGGCGCACGCGGAGAAGAACCTAAATAAAAGACGAACGGAGACCAGCATCGCCTGACAGAGTCATTTATTACAATAGCATGATTAGGATAACATTGTGGAAGACAAAAAAATAAATCACATATTTTATGTTTAATCCCATTTGTTGGTAAATTACTGTAAATGTAAAAATTGCAATTTTTGCTGCCACATTAGGAACATCGATTTGAGAAACACATTTACACTTAGTGAAATATTGTGAGAAATAATATCCACAATCTGTCGTTGATCCTATATCAGTGTTGCATTTCAATACCATCAAGTTATATGTCAAAATGGCTGGTTTTAAATATTATGAAGCATTACACTTTGCGTCCAATTCTGACGGCATTCCTCACCATGTCCAGCTTACATGGATTCTGGTGGCAGTCTCTCACATATATGTTAAAATATAAAAGAACCACAATTATATAAATAAATGTAATCAATAATAATTACATTTATTGAGTGCTTTTCATCAAGGATCTCAATGGCTGTTTGAAGACCATAAAAAAATATGCATAGGGCCCTACCTACTGGTTCACATGTGTGCCCGTCATCCTGCAATCGGTATCCTTTCACACAGGTACACACGGGCGCCTTATTTTCTTGGTCGAGACAAAAATGGTTGCAGCCACCATTGCGAAACACACAGCCGATCTTTGCTGTGAATACAGTGTACATTCGAGATTAAACAAGGCCAAAGAAATGCTCGCTAAATTATCCAATATGGTATACAGTACATATGTCACATTTCAAAAGCTAGCTAACATATTCCTTTTGGGATATTCCTGTCAACTGAAGTAAGCGTTTCTACTGGCCAATAAAATACAGTGTCAGTATATACTGTACATGATGAAAAAAATTAACCCGTAAAAACAAAGTTTTTCACTATAAATCTTTTATATGTGTGGCATCGGTTTCATTTTATTATTCATTTCTGTTTTTCTTGAGTAAGAGTTTCATTTTTATCACATTGGTATTTTAAATTAAATATAAGAAAAGTCGTATATAAGGATTATAAGGTTTTCAGTTTTTGTATGATTGTTTATATTGTACATTTTTGTTGTTTTCTTGAATAATTTTCTGTGTTTAGGAAAAATGTATGATTGTGTCAGTGAAAAAATTTTTTTCCTAAAAAGTGGAAAATTTTAGCATTTTTTTTTCACGAAAATAAATTGTCACACACAACGAGTCTGTGTGCAAAATGTCAGCTCGATTTGATCACGGGAAGTGGGTTAAAAAACGACCGAAAGATTTGCACGGTCGTAAGCGCGCAAGCAAGCAAGTGAACTTAATATAAAGGATTTATAAAAAAAAAATCCTAAAAAGTGGAAAATTAAATTGTCACGCACAACGAGTCTGTGTGCAAAATGTCAGCTCGATTGGATCACGGGAAGTGGGTTAAAAAACGACCGGAAGATTTGCACGATCGTAAGCGCGCAAGCAAGCAAGCAAGTGAACTTAATATAAAGGATTTAAAAATAAGAATAAGTTTGACCCTCTTTGGCAATAAAATGGGAAGTGTTAAGATGTTCAAACACCAAATAGATACACCTATTGCAAGGCATCAAGTCTGCGTTAACCACACATGCTTGTGGCAAAACATGCAAACAAACATGCTCTGATCATTATGTAGTGACGTAAATATGCTGATTATAGTGTTAGCGCCAGCCACTATTACAGGAGTGCTGCTGAGCGCCGGGAACCTCCCTAGGGGGCTCGAGGGACACGTGACAGGGAGCCGGGAGCTCCTGACTTGATACAGGAGGTGGCGTGGCTGAGAGCGGGGCGAGGCCGTGGCCAGGGAAATAAAGGGGGAGCCCCGACGGGGATCAGGGCTCATTTGTGGGAATCGTCCTGGGGTCCCGGTCTCTTCGCTCTTCGGTCGCCGGGTTGAATCTTAGCTCGGCATGTTAGGTCAGGCAGCGTGTGTGCTGACTGGCCCGTTCGCGATAGTTAACCCACATGCACATAGCGAACAGTATCGCCACACCTACAAGTAGCTACAGAACCTGAAGTGGTTAGAGAAGTTGTTTATAAACGTGTTGCCTCCAACTCTAGTGTGTGCGCCTCCGTACGTCACACTTCACTGGTGTCGGAAGTGGTCAAGTAGTGTTAGTTAGTTAGTTAGGGATATTGACAAGAAGGAAAGTACTCACCAAGCCATTTTCGGACGAGGAGGAAGGCGACGAGATGATCCCACAGATGGCCCCCGGTGCTGGAGACCCGGTAATGGAGTGTTGCCACCGGCGCAGTAGCAGGACCCAGAGCTCGCTTCGCTGCCGCCTGCCAGGGAAGGAACACCGCCATCGCAGCTCTGGCCGCCGTCCTGTAGCGGGAAGACGATGACGACGAGATGCCGTGTCCGTGGGACGTCTACCACCGCATCCCACGCACGGAAAACTGGAGAGGCGCGCGCTGCGTGGGAGCCCACCAATTTTTCGATCACGCGGGAGAACACTCCCGCCAATTCGGACCTCCCGCCAAAAGCACTGGCTATGGACAGCGAGCTTAAAAAGAGACTTCCCTTTGTTGGGGAGTTCACGGCAGTGGGTGGCAATTGGGAAGCCTTCCGTCACCGCCGCCTGCAAGCTTGTGGAGTGGACGGAGGAGGAGGCGCTGCGAGCACTGCCCACAGTGCTCGATGACGATACTTTGGCGGCATTTTACGCCATCCCTGATGACGACAAAGCGACGCTGATCCAACCGCTCGCGCAGATGGGGGCAATCTTCGCTCCTCTATTCACCAAGTGCCACAAATTCACCACGCGTAAGCGGGGGGAGGCCGAGATGCCTATCGCCTTTTGTGTCGCAGTCCTGGCATTGGTGATGTCGGCATTTTCTGGGATGGACCAGGTGGGGAAGAATTAATTGGTCAGGGAGAAGATGCTGCTGTTGGCCCAGGAGCTTCAAGTCGTCATACCAGCCACGGAGGACGACGACCTGACTTCCCTCAAAGTTGCGCGGTGTCTCAAGGTGCATTTTAACATCTGTCGGTGTGCTGGCGTGGTTGCGAGCACCGGACCCTCCGCGGCGGAGGGAGCATCTGCAGGCAAGCAGCATCTGCAAGCGGGTGTTTCCCATCTCACTGCAAAGTGGAGGAGGTCCGAGGAAGATCAGCAGGGTGGGCGAGACTGGCCAAGGGGGGTTTTCCCTCGCCAGAGGGACGGCCCGATTATCTGCTACAAGTGTGGGTTGCCAGGACACATCTCCGTGGGGTGCCGCACTCAGCGAGGAGGACCCTCCACATCGACGCCATCTACGGATCGTCGCTCCTTCTCTCTGCTGGGTCCTCAGACGCGTCGCGGCGCACCTCATACACAGCCCTCTAACCCATCTCAAGCATCGGTTCGGAATCGTGGATCGCGGATTCTTGTCAAGGCGTGTCGCGCGCCGATCCGGTTTTTGCAGGCATGGGTTGGCCGCGGCATCCTGCTCAATTGACGGCCCTGGCACGCCGTATTATTGCTGCAATGGCGGGATCGTTCGCTATTATTGTGACCATCGAGGGGATGGAGGTGCGTATTTTTGTTGATACGGGTGCGTCAGTGACAATCAATTTGGAAATTTTTTTGTATTGCTTGCCGCCAAAATCGCACGCCATTTCGCCCGTTTCCATTCCCTGCTTTGCTGCCAATAGGCAGTCCTTAGGAATTATTGGCCAGTTATCTGCTACTGTATGCATAAGTGACATTCGATTGACGGGCCCGGTTCTTGTTTCCAAATCCAAAGCTGTACCCTGCCTGCTAGAGACAGATTTTCGAGGGAAGATGCTGCTAAATATCCTTGTGGATCAGGGCTGCATTGAATTAGCATTGGGCCGCCGAATAGCATTTCTATCATCACCCACTTTATTTCGCAGGGTGAACGCATCGGTCCTAGCGATGGCAAACCACACTGTCCATATTCCCCCCAGTGCGCAGATACTCATTCCCTTAAGACTGAAGCAACAACTCGGCCACAATTTGATCATAGAAGGGATGCTATTAGCCCCCTCTACCTAGGCGGTTCGTTCCCCTAATTTGGTGTATGTGTAATGCGAGCGTAAATGGGAAGGCTGGATGTGACGATCCGAGAGGGAGGAGTCAGGGTCAACTGGGAGAGAGGTTATAGGAGGGAGCCCGGAAGAGATCGGGGCCAGTCGATGGAGTGAAGAGGCGGGACCACGTTGGGTGGCCGCCGCGCCATCAGCCACGTGGCTGATGGGACTTGGGACACCGTCAGCCAGGCGCACAGGGATAGCGGAGTGGCTAGCGGAGCGTGCGGGGTGCACGGGGCTAGCGGAGTGGCTAGCGGAGCGTGCGGAGTGCACGGGCTAGCGGAGTGGCTAGCGGAGCGTGCGGAGTGCACGGGCTAGCGGAGTGGCTAGCGGAGCATGCGGGGTGCACGGGGCTAGCGGAGGGGCTAGCGGAGCGTGCGGGGTGCACGGAGCTAGCGGAGGGGCTAGCAGGGCGTGCGTGGCACGCAAGAGGAGACGCTGGTCCGAGGAGGAGGCCAGCGGGGTGGGGAGGAGAAGAATCTAAATAAAGGACCAACGGAGAGCGACATCGTGTGTGAAGGAGTCCTTTATTACATTGGAGTCAGAAGTGGACTTTTTCTAGGCTAAATAACATCGAGGAAGATGGCCGAGAACTTGAAAAAGCTTAACCCACTTGTTACGTCTTCCGACGACGAAGAAATGGCGCACGTCCTCCAGCGACCACGTGGCGGTCCAGCTTGAATCGCTGCGGGCCGTTCTGCTGGATTTTGTCACCCTGGTGGCGCCGGCAACGATACCGGATCGGATACGTGGCGGGCCTGCAAGCGGTGAGCCGTCGAGTCAGGATGAGCCGTCCGCCATTGGGGCCTGGCCCACGCTTCCCGCCCTCTCCGACACGCGGCAGGATGCCGCCATCTTGGGTGTGGTCGGGGACGAACGGCGGGAAGCCGCCATCTTGTCGCCGCCGCGGTGGGAAGCCGCCGCCATCTTCAACATCGCGGCGGAGAGGCGGCCGTGCGCTGCCATCTGGGAGGCGCCGCATGGTGTGCAGCCTGCTGCTGAGCTACTGTTTTGCGGGGAGGAGCCGCAAGGAGAGGACGCCGATGCTGCTGCTGCCAGGGCGGGAGCACTCCCGTCCTGGCTCGTGTGTGAGACACCGGAGGAGGCGCGGGAGGACGCCGCGCTCAACGTCCGAGTTCTGCGAGGCGTCTCAAGTCACCACCCTCCCGTCCTCTGCTCGCTGCAGCCCCGGGCGAGTCGTCACGATATGCACCCGGCCCTAACACACACCTCACCCATCTAGCGTGTGCCGGGGGGCGATTGTTGTCATGTCTTGAGCATGCGGAGCGCGGTTCGTGCTGTGTGTGTATGTGTGTGTTGAGGATGGACGCGCTATCTGCTTGTTTGCTCGGTGTCAAATAGTGTGTGTGTGTTGCGGCAGGGAGATGTTATCTTGATGGCGAAGTTAATTATTAACTCGGTTGCGTCGTGTATCCCGCGCTGTTAACATCCCGTGGGTTGCTGTGTGCGACGTGTTTATTTCGATAATTTTTAGTTGTTGCTGCAAGGACGGACAGAGTTAATGGTGTGTCTGCCTGCAGCTCTGCTTGCCATTGTGCATAATATACGCTTGTAATAGCGATATGCTGACTGCATGTACTGTATAGATTGTTTTCTGTACGA